CACACACAGACACACAGACACACACACACACACACACACACACACACACACACACACACACACACCCACACACACACACACAGACACACACACACACCACACACCCACACACCCACACACACACACACACACAACACACACACACACACACACACACACACACACACACAGACACACACACACACACAAAAGAGAGAGAGAGAGAGAGAACAGACTCTTCATCATCATCATCTCTCTGTCACAGAAAGAACACTCATTTTCCACTGAGTCAGGTCCTTTAGTCCGACAGAAGCTGAATCGCATCAGCAGCAGAAGGAAAGAGCTGTTTTGTTTAGTTTTTTTTATTTTTTTTATCAGTGCTTATAGTTTATGTAAATGAGTCATGTGGTTTTAAGTTTAGTTTCCGCACATTTGTTTATGTTTTAAAACATAAACAAATGTGTTAAAGCTGAATTAAACACATTCTAATGTCAAACAGGCTGATGTGTCTCTAGAGTGTTTATGATTTATATGTTGTAAAGTTGAATTTATTTATGCAGATTAGTAGTAATAATAATGATGACCATTTTAATATAAAAACATTAATGATTAATTGAAAATCGATTGTTAATTCTCCCAACACTCGATTAAGAAAATGTAATTGAACGTCCATCCCTCTTCTAAAAGACGTCCAAGAGAAGTGCAGTGGTTGGTAATTGTAACTTGGTTCATTGTTGTAGTGACAGAAAAGGGGGTGTTGAAATTGTCCATCTGAAATAATGTAGTTGGAGTTAAATATTTGTTTGCTTTTATTTTGATGAAATATTTAAGGTTGGACAAAGTGACTCTGTACGAGGTGAGAGGGTGAAGAACTAAAGAGACAGAACATCTGAGCGCACTTCATCTGCTCAGTCAAGGTGTTTGATGTTTTGGAAAATGGTTCATTCAGATTTATTGTTGAACCTTCCTCCTCTTGGTGTGAGGTGAACAGGAAAAAAATGTCCCAGGATGTTTTCTGCTTTGACCATACCATTTACATAAAAACCCAAAGATCATTTTTTGACAGATGTAAATTCTGTATGCAGCAGTACTCCGACTGAAGTCCAATTAAAAATAGACAAGACTAAGCTGAAGGAAATGTGGGCCATAGGATTGTCATTCATATATGTTACACTGTGTCATTTTTCTGATGAAATCTCCATGACATCTCCATGGAGACAAGCACCACCAGGTCAAGTTCTGGAGGAGAGGCGAGCCTGATCACACTAAAAATACAAATACAGGTACCTGTAATACCTATTGTAAATATTAATGATTTTATTAGTCAAGAAGCAATTGACAAAGAGAAGTTGAAGAACATGTTGAAAATGACAGGAAGTGGACAGTTGTGTTTTCGAGAACACCACACTGATGCCACCACATCATGCATGAGGAGAACTCGAACTCTAAAAGCTCGACACAATTGACACATTTTACATATTTTTCCAAGCATTTAAACAAGATTTCAACAAAGTAAATGCGTTTTCTTTGTTGTATTTGTCAAATCATAATTTCTGTGTACATTTGAGGAGTTCTGACTCAGTGTGTGACATGGTTACAAGTAACAGTTATGAAACTCCCTCGTGAGATGTTATGATTTTGATGCAGAAAGTCAAATTCTATGGCTCGAACCAGCAGCTGAACTGGAGCCTCTCTGTGTTCTTGGGCAGCATGAGTAAGGCTGTGGTGCAGCTCAGTGGCATTTTTCTTTTAAACAACAGCACAGAGTCACATTCATCACATCCGTTTTTGATTGCTTTTGTAATTTGCAAATCCCAACTTGTCCTTTTGATGATGTTCCCCAGTTTGCCCAATCACTTAAAGTCTTTTCTGTAATGTCTGTCCAGGTAAACTGAATGTTGCAGTGGGAACACAAGTGTATTGGTTTGTATTGATTTGAGGGTTGGGTGCAGTGCCAACATTGTCCACTAGAGTGAGCTGTGGTGGTGTGGGGCCAGACTCGGACTAGAGCAGGAGTGTCCAACTCATTTTGGTCCGGGGGCCATATCCAACCAACTCTGATCCCAAAGTGTCCGGATCAGAAAACTCATGTCATATAAACCCTAAAAATAACAATAAGTTCAAATATTTGTGCAGAGAAACACAAATCTATTACAGAAATCTTTTTTTAATTGATGAATTCTTTCTTTTACAAAATATTATAATATTATGAACAACTTGAAACTTTTAGAAAAATACAATTTCAACACAATATTTTAACATGAACTTGTATGTAAATAGGAATAAGTCCATTTTTGTTGTAAAATCCTGCACTCAGCTCCACTTTTCTCATGTTGGACATTTTGTTGATGAGGGTGTCACGGTCAATAGTCAAAACGATCGTCCTTTAAGAGCGTTTGGAAAGAGACAAGTCTTCATTTGTGCTGCTCTGGTGGGAGGGGCCACGTACAGAGACGCTGCTGTGATAAACACCATAGAAAATTAACAAGATTTTAATAGAAAATATAATTCAAATATTTTAGTAGAAAATCAGCCGAGGGCCAGATTAAAGGTCTTGGAGGGCTGGATCCGGCCCCTGGGCCATATGTTTGAGACCCCTGGACTAGAGTGTGCATCAGACTGATTTTTCCGAGCCCAGTGCGCGTCCAACGGAGCAGTGACCGAATCCAACCTGATCCCAACAGACATTAGGATATTTGTGTCCCAACCCACACTATTTTCAGCGGCCTAATGACACAAGGAGGATATTCTCTGTGTTCCTCTAGCGCATTGTTTCCCAAAAACTGGGCTGTGACCCTCAGGTGGGTCACAAGAGATTTTTGGGGGGGGTCGCTTTGTCATGATCTGCATGTAGGTCTGTGATATACAGTTGTGACATGACAGAGCGAGTGAGTCAGTGAATCCTCTGTCTGCCCTGAGCGAGTGTTCCTGCAGCTGAAGTTGAAAAATGTTTGCTTGGTTGTCCAAAAAGAAGGTGATAAATCTGCAAAGGTCAATGCACTTCAGGAGACTTATTCTTGGTTCATTTACTGTTTTTCATAGTTTAAAACGTGAGTAATACTAATAGTTCAGAGACACAATCACTCAGTCAACAATGAAACATCCTCATTCATGTTCAATAATCAAATCCACCTTTATTTTGACTTGGGTCATGAAGGTTTGTGACTTTTAAAAAGGGTTAGTCCCCAGAAAAAAAAGTTTGTGAAACACTGTTCTAACAGACACAGAGGCACAAAACACAAACTGGAGATAGAGAGAAAATAATGATTAGATTTTATTCCTCACCTCTTGTAAAGTGGTAAATTTAAACTGCAGCGTCTCATCCACATTATCCAGAGAAATCGTCCTCCACAAATAATGAGCCCAGTCCATAAAACAGCTCTGTGAGTCCAGTTTGAGTCGTTCTTTAAAAGTAAAAAGGTGAGTTTGGTTCCTCACGTGTGTATGTTTACATCCACACAGCGCACAGATCGAGCTGAAGCTGCAGATTCGTGACAGTGACTTCCTTGGGATTTTATCTTCAATCTTTGATGCTTTAAAATCCTGTATCTGAAGTTTTACACCACATTTCACAAATAATAATAACACAGTTTTGACTTGTATCTAAACTAGAAGTGCAGAGTCTGATCTTTGAACACTGAAGAGTCTCAGAGCGACTGGTTTTACTGTAGACAAGAAACAACTGACACGCTCATGTGTCCGAGTCTGATCCGAGACCCAACAGAAGTTCTAAATGTTTGTCTGAACCCGTCTGGTTCCAACAGGGAGTTTAAAGGGACTGTCCAGAATTTTGGACATAGAACCTCATTTCCTCGTGGTCCAGAGTGTTGAAGATGTGTGGAGACACTTTTTGAAATATTCCATCCAGTCCTTGTATTTGCAGAGGTCATTTGGACATTGCAACTATCACCTATTTGACTTTGCCAGTAAAGCAAAGTCACATCTGCTGCTGCTGAGAAAATAGTCCCTCAACATGCGACGATTCATGTGATGCAAGGTTAGTTTTATTTCAAACATGATTCTATCAGCACACACATTGACATGGACAGTCTGGTGTAATAATAGATTTGTTTGGGGTGTTTTGTGGAGTGGGTAAGACTGTTTTTAGTGGCAGGAGAACTATGACCATTGACATGCACTAGTCTAACACCAGCGACCTCTGCAAATACAACGACTGGATGGAATATTTCAAAAAGTGTCTCCACACGTCTCCAACACTCTGACTCATGAGGAAATGACGCCCTGTGTCCAATATTCCGGACTGTCCCTTTAAGAACTGATTCAAATAGGAGGGTTTCAGTCACGTGATCACGATGATGTGAATTTCAAGTGGAGGGCAGGAAGTGAAGACAAACACGACAAACACAGCTCTGGAGAACACAGATATGGAGAAGAGTTCTTATTGTCAGGATTTAGAACCAGTAGCGAGGCAAAAGTACGAGCAGTTAGTCGACAAATATATTGGGTGTGACCCCATCTTATTGAAAATGAGAGAATTTTCAACCGAAGTAAAAGATTTGCTGACACTCGAGGCAGAGGAGATCATCAACTATTTAGCTCTTCAGACATCGTTCTACACCAGACAACAGATGAACGTGAAACCCAGCTATTTCACTGAAATTGGAGTTTGTTTGAGCAAATGGGAGCAATTTGTAAAAATTCAAAATTTCTGAAATTCTGGACAATTTTTGTTGCTTCACTGCTCAGAGACCGTAAGACGTGTCAAAAGTTGGATCATTTTTGATGTCCCGTCCCTTGAGATAATGAGTCCTGAATCTGAGGCCTTGTTGTAAAAGTGATAGGCCCTACTCCCTGCAGAGGCTCAGGCCGAAATACAACGGCTTAAAGGTGCACTGTGTAACTTTTTGGTTGGGGGTCCGTCGTCTGCTTGTTTCTATGGATGTGTCATTTCTCTGCTTGGAATGTTACACAGTGTAGCATTAAACAGCTCTACTTTACACTGATTTAATTACAAGTGGTTTTACAGCTCAAAAATAGAGCTGCAAAGTGAAAAGGAACAGACTGGAGCCTTCTGATGATGTCACAAAGTGGGACAGGGTCTTGAGACCGCCTACTTTAGCAGGAAGAGTCAACTCTTCACATGTTTTTAAAGAGGAAACATGGGTCAAAGGTTGTAATAAATCTTCAACTCTTCCGGTTTCCCAGCGCAGAGTATTTCCTTTTCTTCTTCCCATTTGAAAGAGGAAACTTTGGGCGTTTCCTGAACTATCAAACCAGAGCGTCTCGTTCTGTCACTTTGACACTTTTCACACAGCTCCCTGTCCCTCTCTCTCTCTCTCTGTCTTTCACACCCTTGTTCCCTCTCTGTCCCTCCCTCTCTCTCCTGCTTCAGTCTCTTTCTTGTTTCTCCTTTCCTTCCTCCCACTTTTTTCTCTTTATCTCTCTGCTCCTCTTTATCTCCCTCACCTTTGTTTTTGTATCTTTTCTCTGCAAAATTCTTCCTTTCTCTCTGTAAACACAAGTCCTACACACTCAGCTTTTCTCTCGCTCCTTCTCTCCTCCCTCCCAGCTCCCTCCCAGCTCTCTCTCTCTCTCTCTCTCTCTGTACATATGTGTTCTTCTACACTCGTCTCTCTCAGTCTCTCTCAGTTTTAACAAATGGATTTGGACGACACCAGGAACGGAGGAGAAGAGCTCGTCCTGAAGATGGAGCCCGACGTCGAGGTAAGAACGCTACTTTACCAATGTTTTATCTTTTTTTTTTTTAAAGTTTCAGTACAATGTAAATGAGTTAAAGGTGCATTGTGTAACTTTTTGGTTGGGGGTCCTGGTCCTTGCTCTGCTCGGAATGTTTCCCAGTGTGACTTTAAACAGCTCTGTCTCACATTTATTCACTTACAGATGGTTTTATAGCTCAAGAATACCTCGAAAAACAACTTTGTGACTGTGAGTGGGGTTGCCTCTCCACAGATCTGACCTGTAAAGTGATCTGGTCTGGTCTCCGTGACGATAGAAAGGTTTAATGCCGTACTGTGGGACATTCCAGACAAAGCAACGACATCGCCAAAAAGCATTTGACGGACCCTCCACCAGAAAAGTTGCACCAAAAATATACCAAGTACACTGTGTAACTGTTAGCTGCTTGTCTCCATGGCGATGTTATTGCTTTGCCTGGAAAGTTCCACAATACAGCATTAAACTTAACTGGGTTAAGACAAGCCGGTGACATTACCAGACCACGTCACAGGTCAGATCTGCGGAAAGACGAGCCTCCCTGCAGTAAGAAGGTGAAGTTCCTAAGCGATATCAAAAATTTTAATGCCGTATTGCGGGATATGTTAGGATGTTATGTAATGTCTCCATGGGGACAAGCACATTACATTTTTGTGGTTTGTTACATGATGTTTAACCTAAGTGATGTTTAAGTTGGTGGAAAACGTCTGTGAACATGTGGAACAAAAAAACTGATTTAAACTGACTGGAAAATATTTTGATGTCAACAAAAAAATCATACCACAAATACTGACAGTACTTTTGTTTTTAGTAGCAGTAGTTGAGTGATTTAACTCTGGTTTAGTCCTGGTTCAGTCCTGGTTTAGTCCTTGTTTGGTCCTGGTTTAGTCCTGGTTTAGTCCTGGTTTAGTCCTGGTTCGGTCTTTGTTCTTGTTGTGTGTGTTTACACTGAGTACAGGAAACACACTGCTCGTCTTTGGGTCTCATCTCACACACACACACACACACACACACACACACAGACATACACACACACCCTCACACTCACCCTCACACACACACACACACACACACACACATACACAGTGAAGTGTTTCAGGAGCTTTAGGTCGTCGTGTGTTTGAGTCAGTATTGTGTTATGCTATAAGAAAACACAAACACAATGTAGTGCAGGGTGTGTGTGTGTGTGTGTGTGTGTGTGTGTGTGTGTGTGTGTGTGTGTGTGTGTGTGTGTGTGTGTGTGTGAGAGTGTGAGGGTGTGTTTGTGTGTGCGTGTGTGAGGGTGAGTGTGAGGGTGTGTGTGTGTGTGTGAGGGTGAGTGTGAAGGGCAGGGCATCCGACTTAATCTGACTGACAATACAGAACAATACAGAACAGTATCACTCAGTGTCACATGACCTCATCACATTTAATGAGTCTCTCTTATTTAATCCATGTCATTCTTATATAAGACACGTGGGGATTTTTCACATGTGTAATGCAGCGAGTGCTTGACTTGTTACTAATAAAATAATCAGGTTGACATGCTAACTGTAGGCTCTGCTCTGTCTGGGGCATTTAGACTTTAATCTAAGTTTAGTTTCAGCACAATCAGACCAGAACGAGCTGATTCACGTGGAAGTCCAACAGATGAGAAGGTTTGAGCTGTGAAACAAATTGCATTGAGCAAAGTTTTTGTCCCGTGTGGACGTCCTCACAAAGGGAAGACAACTGTTTAACTGTTTGGTTTAATGTGAGCAGGACTTCTCCTGCGCTCCTCAAACTCACGACACACTCACACTGTCAGACAGAGCGACACTGAGACACTGAGACAGAGACAGAGACAGAGAGACACTGAGACAGAGAGACACTGAGACAGAGAGACACTGAGAGAGACAGAGACACTGAAACAGAAAGACAGAGAGACAGTGAGACAGTGGCAGAGAGACAGTGAGAGAGACAGTGAGACAGTGAGACAGAGAGACAGAGAGACAGTGAGACAGTGGCAGAGAGACAGTGAGAGAGACAGTGAGACAGTGAGACAGAGAGACAGTGAGACAGTGGCAGAGAGACAGTGAGAGAGACAGTGAGACAGTGAGACAGAGAGACAGAGAGACAGTGACAGTGCAGTGAGACATGTCCTCGTCCTGTGGGAATATTAAACAGAGCAGAGTGTGAAGTGAAGAACACAAGAGACTCTCTGTGTGTCCACAGTCTCTATGTGGAATGTGAGGACGGGAGGGCATCTGACACACTGATGGACACACACAGTTTGGTTATTGATACTTGGATCATGAGGATGTGATAACAACTGTAGGTGCTGTGGAAAAAATTATGTATCTCTCGATCATAAATAATGAATCCATTTGCGAAGCAAATGAGTTTTAAAATACAGACAGAGACCAACAGCCTCTTCTAACAGCACCATGTCCCCCCCTCTCCATCCCCCTGGCACCACTGTCCCTCAGGACAGTGGTGCTGTCTGCTGTCTGCTGAGTCTTTCCACATGTTTAATGTCTGGTTTCGTCTGTCCTCAGGAAGAAATCACGTTCATTTACACCAAGACACACTGAGAGAAATCTTTTCACCATATAAATGCCCATCACAGTGGACAGGGTTTGGCCTTTTACTCAAGTGAGACTCGTACTGGTCACAGGCTCCTGAAAGTGTGCTCTTTAAAGTCTTTTTTTGTTTTTTCTTGAGTCAGACCATATTAAAAGTTTTCAGTCACTATGGTAACTTGTGAACATTCCACCATACACATACATGTAGAACACCACCAGAGTGATGCCACTGCAAAGTATAAATATGATTCCCACTTTGAGCAAGTCGATAATGTAAAAAGGTTTCAGAGGAGGTCATCTGGACACTGTTTTGGCCCCACACGTCTTTAACATTGAAGATTCAGATGATCTAAAGTGTTTCTGCACTGGACTGATCCTGCAGTGATAAAAACTTTACAATCTGAAATGATTTGAACATTTGTGTTTCTTACAGCTCCTGCACATCTGATTTAGTTTGTCTCATTTCTGCATCTGTCCTTAGAAAATCTGAGATTTGTAACTTATTTTAAGTATAAATCAGCTGTTACAACCAGAGAGTTAATCTTATATTTACAAAAGGACTATAAATACTTTAAACGGCTTGAGTCATTTCTGGAGTACTACTTTGTACTTCTACTTGAGTCACATTTTGCCATTTTATCCAGGCTGCTCTCCCTCCTCTGATTATGTCTTATATGTTTTGAAATACCTTTTGTGTTGTTGCTGTTGCTGTGCCACTCCCTGCTCCTGTCAGCACCTGTCTGCTCCTGCCTCACGTTACTGTGCCACTCCCTTCTCCTGACATGTGCAAGCATGACACAGCCATGGAACACTCCAAACTGCACTTCTGACGTCTTACGTAATCCACTTCAACATGTGAAAGTAAACAGTGGAAATTAACACACATCAAGTCCAACCCCACACGGAGAGGGCATCTGACACACAGGGACACGGGAGGACGGGAGGGCATCTGACACACAGGGACACGGGAGGACGGGAGGGCATCTGACACACAGGGACACGGGAGGACGGGATACAGGTAGGATACAACAGGATGGGAGAGTATTTGATACAAAGGGACATTTGCAGGGTGCAAATGCCGATTTTCAGACTTCGATTGTCATTTTTGAGTTCCAGGACCTAGTCTCATGGATGTATTAAGTGGAGGGTGTTGCTACTTGTACCGTCTTGAGTTGGTGTAGTGACACTCACTGGAACTTCAGTGAAAAAATCCCTCCTGCCCAGAAAGGATTTTTCCCATAAGAGCACAATGTAATCACAAACTGCTCTTGTTGGGCTTACAGAGTCTGACAGGGTCTGACAGGGTCTGACAGGGTCTGACAGGGGCTGACAGGAGGTGACAGGGCCTGACGGGGCACCTACAGTTTTCCAAAAGTTTGGATTTTGTGTTTTCATTGAGCTCAGCCTTGACTTGAATGGTCGGCCTTGTTTAGACTCTGTGTTCACATCATAGACTGTACATGTTGGACAGAGCAAACCTACAGGCCTTGTGTTCGAAACAGGAAGTGAGCATGGGCCTATGCAAACCATAAAACACAACTTCCCCAACAACATTTTTGTATCTGTAAGAGTTGGATTCAGTGTGTGCATGTGTCATGAGCTTTGGAGCTGCTGCTCCTCCACGTGGAGACGAGCAGCTGAGGGGAGGACGTCTGTTCTGATGCCTCCTGGACGTCTCTCTCAGGAGGTGTTCATGTCCCACCAGGAGGAGGCCCCTGGGAAGACCCAGGACACACTGGAGGGACTATGTCTCTGGGCTGGACTGGGAACACCTCGGGATCCCATCAGAGGAGCTGGAGGAAGTGTCTGGGGTGAGGAAGTCTGGGAGTCCCTGCTTAGACTGCTGCCCCTGTGACCTGACCCCGGATAAGAGGAAGAAAATGGATGGATCTGCAGCCAGTGACCATCCACACATGTTGGACCTCCTTATGAGTCCATTTTTATTTTATTTTTTCATCACTCGCTTCAGAAAGTGGTGCCATGATTTAAGCCTGAAGATGTGTTGTGTCAGGTGTTGTCAGGTGTTGTCAGGTGAAAGGACTTTAAGCCAGGACTAATAGGACAGGTCTGTGGAGCCAGTCCCAAACTCATAAAAAGAATCCTGTGAACTTTGGGGTTCAAAAATGTCACCATTTACTTCAGATATTATGAATCAAACATTTCCTTATTTCAGGAGATGTTTGTGGAGTAAAATCTCAAAAATATGTAGAAAATCAGACACAAAATGTAAAAATGTAAAGTTAAAAGGCCCCTGTGCCTTTATTGCATCTTGGTTATTAAAGGTGCACTGTGTAACTTCTGATTGGGGTCTGTCACCTGCTTGTTTCTATGGAGATGTCACTACTCTGCCTGGAATGTTCCACAGTGTGACATTAAACAGGTTGTTTTACAGCTCAAAAATACCTCAAAAAACAACATCCTGACTGTGGTGGGGTCGCCTCTCCACAGATCTGACCTGTAACTTGGTCTGGTTTGGTCTCCGTGAAGACTGACATTTAATGCCATACTGTGAAACATTCCAGACAAAGCAACAACATCTCCGTGGAGAAAAGCGTTTGACGGACCCTCCACCAGAAAAGTTACACAGTGCAGCTTTAAAGATAACAACATACGCCCCAACGGGGTCAGCCTTATCATCAGAAGAGCCTCTAGTCAGAAAATCCATGTTCAGGTCGTGTTACAAATTGTTACAAATGAAATTGTATTTCAAGTTTTAAATATTTTAAAAAGTAAATATTAAAAGTAATAAATATATTAAACCCTTAAAATACAAATTTGGGTGGAAATGACTGTCTTAAGTGGAACAGGGTTAATAATTGTCTGATTTTCAGGCAACAACTTGCAAAAAGTTGAGCTCTACAACCTTAATTTCAATTTTATTTTAAATATTTTTCTTTTAATATAGCATTGGTGGGTTTGTAAACTAACAAATAAGTAAGTAATTCTGGCCTTAGCTAATGCTGTTATGCATGATTATGCATTTTCCTGTCAATATCTCTAAAAATGTTGATGTTGCAGCCATTTTTAATTGGTAAACATCCAAAAGTTTACTAATTCTTCCCTGATATCCAGGGATTATTCCCTGTTGCTTTCATCAAATATACATTCAGTTGTTCAAGAGAAATGTTGCTGACAAACCAATAGAAGAGGGAATGATTTTCTGACTAGGGGGCCTTCTGATGATAAGGGTGGAACCGCACCAACATGCATTTACACACAAGGAAGAGATTTTTCTGGCAGTTTAAACATGCATCAAAACAAAGGTGTTGTCATTTATTTTATTGATTACATAACTATTGTGTATGTTGGACACACTTTGGCCCTTGTTTACATTGTAGTTGCTAGGGAACTGTTCGCTGGATGTTTGCTGCTCTGCTGTCTGCATATGTTCTGCTTGTGTCCAACAGGAAGTAAACAGAACTTCACCAAGATAACAAAACTAGAAGAGAATTTTACATAAATGAGTAGTCTAACCTGTCCTATGCATTTTAAAAAGATGATTTGAGCCGGGTCGCCTCTCCACAGATCTGACATGTAACTTGTTCTGGTTTGGTCTCCATGAAGATAGAAAGGTTTAATGCCGTCCTGTGAAACATTCTAGACCAGGGGTACCCAATACGTCGATCCCGATCTACCAGTCGATCGGCAAGGTCGTGTGAGTAGATCGTCGTGTCTCATCTCGGACTCGCGTTTGGACTCGGTCTTGTCTCTCACTCGAGGTCTGACACTCAACAAGTGTGATCATATTTCATTACGGCCGCTGCTGTTGGTAATAAACTTGTAGCGGGTGCTGGAGCGTGTGGGGCGTCTCAGTGCAGCCTGTGCGCTCATTTGAAACCCGCGGAGACTCTACGGCGCATCACAAACACACACGCTCCCTACGCACGGCTCGTCTGCGACAGCGTGTGCCCTCGTGTACCAGCGTGCATCACAGGGCAGGTTCAACTTCCTAAACATCCTACCTGTCCATCTGCCTCACGTCAGCACGCCGCCCCTCGCCTTTTCACGCTCTCGCTCCTTCCTGCGTACAGCGAACACAAGCCCCTCCCACAGTGCGGCTGATTAGAAGAGCAAGACCAAACGTGAAGCAAAAACCAGTCTAAATTTGTGTTCCAGTGTTGGCACAAAGCAGGTCTACAGCATAGAGCAGATCTACAGAACAGACCTACTGCCACATTTGGCTGAAGTTTGTCTAACAAAAGTGCACAAATGCATCTGTGTTTGTCACAATGTGCGTTTGGTTTGGTAAATGTGCAGAGGCTGGTAAATATCACTGCAAAACCAGAAAATAGTGCAACTCCAGTTTGGATTTAAAAATCTTACCTACTCCCTTCACTTTTTTCACAGTTTTGTGTAAAGTGCCAGTGAAAGTTCTCTTAAAGAAGGGGTTCTCTCTGGGTGAGGGTCCAAAAAGGGGGCACTGTTGCTTGGCTTTGTATTAGGTAGATCATTTTGACTTGGTCATTTTGTAAATAGCTCGCATGCTGAAAAAGTGTGAGCACCCCTGATCTAGACAAAGCAATAATATCTTTACAGAGAAAAGCATTTGACACACTCTCCACCAGTTTTAGTAAAATTAATAGTCCAATTTGTCCTAGGCACTTTAAAAACCCAGAGGAGCTGTCCTGTATGTCACTATGTATTGTGTGGTTGTTGCAGGCTCCCTCTGTGCGAACGCGGCGGCCTCTGGACATAAACCACTACGCCACCAAGAAGAGTGCGGCTCAGAGCATGCTGGACGTGGCTCTGCTCATGGCCAACTCCTCTCAGCTCAAGACCGTGCTGTATGTGGGGCCCCAGTATCGCTTCTACATCCCCCTCATCGTCCTCCTGTGTCTGTCCATCACTCTGCAGGTGCTGGTGGGGCTGCTGCTCGTCTTTATAGGTGAGACTAATCTGTGGAATAGTCTCAATGAAAATTTAAAATGCTCTAAAACAATTTACACATTTTAAAAAATATATATAAACCTAAAATTATACAGAAATACAATAAATAATATTTTACCCCATCAAACCTACAGATTAACTGTAACCCCCAATTATATTTATATATTTAAGAGTATAATATAAACCAATAGGTATAAAAATTAACATGTACAGGGTAAGTGTGTGTGTGTGTGTGTATGAACATATATTATATGTTATATATATTATTATTACATATACTTGGATTATGTTGAGGATTTTTGTTGTTGTTGTTGTTTTCTGTAAATAGTTCTGCCATCTTGTATCCTATTCTATATGTTAATAGGGTTTGGCCAAACAAGTGTTAAACTTCAGCCTAAACCCCTTCAGTCTACAGAATAACTTTATTTCTATGCACTAACTGCATAATTTGTTTTGTGTTTTTTGTTTTGTTACATCATTGTTATATGATGCATGATTACGTTAATTGACCGAAGAAAATAAACTACTACTACTACTACTAGACTAAACCCACGGGGAACTGAAACGAGCACTGAGCCTGAGCTGCCTGAAGCTGCACATGTATGTGTCCTCTAAATCTATGTTCAGATTGCAGCCCGAAATGACCCAGAGCTGAGTTTTTGTCCCCTATGCTCCTGTATCTGATCTTTTAATGACAGTCTGCACCACACAGATCTGACCCAGGCCACTTGGATATGTGCAGTGTTGCCATAGTTACTTTGAAATAGTAATCTGACTACTGATTACTGATTACTACTTTAAAAAGTAACTTAGTTAGATTACAGGTTACTTTACGTTACTGTTTTCTTCGCACCGGGTGGGACCTGCTCTGTTAACGGGGTTGTGTCATGCTGTGTATCTAGATGTTTGTTTAGGTTTGATGTTGTTTTCTTGAACACAGACAACACTTGGTCGCCAGCACAGAGTGAACAACCAACCTTTATGTTGCCATCCTGAGCTGAAATAAAATCAAAATAATGTTTGTATTTCCAGCTGTAAAAGGCATCCCTCTCTCCCTCCATTGTTTACATCTGAGTCGTGGTGGAGCGGAGATGATGTAACATCATAGGAAACATGTCACCAGAGATGATTTAAAGGATCTTTGGGGTCACGTAACCCACATCGCCAAAAAATACAAATAAATAAATAACCTACAATACGTTGCCCTGAAACGCAAAAATAGTAACGCACAGTGTATTAGATAAGTAACTTAAATCTGACTACTTGTTTGGAAATAGCACTGCGTTAGACGACTCTTTACTGAAAAAAGTAGTCGGACTACAGTAACGCGTTACTAAGTAGTGCATTAATGACATCACTGGATATGTGCTCGTAAAACCCAAACATATCTGATCTTTTGAATGCGACTTCAGTCTGAATGGCCAGGTCACATTCATCCCACCTACACGTCAAGACTCAGAGTCTCGTCAGTGGAGGGAAAGTGAGGTTAATTAGTTCATTCATATTCAGGGGATTGCTGTATTCAGACCAAATTGGAGGAGTCTTTGAAATGTCCGAGTGAGGCTACAGGTGGAACTGGCTCCAAACACAAACAGATCTGGAGTTTTAAGATGAAAAGAAGAGGTACAGGAGCAGCAGTACAGGAGCTCTACAAGGGTTAAATTTGAAATCTTAACAGAACGTTTTCAGTTTGAGAGATGAATTCAGTTTAAATGTGCACATTTGTGTGTTAAACGTGTGAATTAAACAAAACACAACTCCAAGTCTGTTTGTGATGAGGAAACATTAGAACAGATTAGAAAATAGAGTCATGTGGACTTTAAACAGCTCTGTTGATGGGTTTCAGCTTTCTGTTAAATATAAAAAATTAAACAAATCAGGAAAATTGGCCAACAAAATTACAAAATTAGGAGACAAACTGTTGTTATTTGAAGGTATTTATTAAGAACTTTTGTTTGTGTTTTGTTTCAGTGAAGTATGACCTGAACGACAGGAGGAAACACGCCAAACTCGACCGACTGAACAACACTGCTACCGTCTTTGTCTTCTTCACCGTCCTCATCAACATCTTCATCACAGCTCTGGGCTTTGAGAGCTACAGTGTCAGGTAAACACGGACTAGACAGGGATGTATGTCCCCTCTGTAACAGTATGTCCCCTCTATAACAGTATGTCCCCTCTGTAACAGTATGTCCCACTCGTAACAGTATGTCCCACCCGTAACGGTATGTACCTTGTAACAGTATGTCCCCTCTGTAACAGCATGTCCCCCCGTAACAGCATGTCCCCCCTGTAACAGTATGTCCTCTCTGTAACAGCATGCCCCTTATGTAACAGCATGTCCCCTATGTAACAGTATGTCCCCTCTGTAACAGTATGTCATCTTATGTAATAGTATGTCCCCTCTGTAACAGTATGTCCCCTTATGTAATAGTATGTCCCCTCTGTAACAGTATGTCCCCTGTAACAATATGCCCCCTCTGTAACAGTATGTCCCCTCTGTAACAGTATGTCCCCTTATGTAACAGCATGTCCCCTCTGTAACAGTATGTCCCCTCTGTAACAGTATGTCACCTTATGTAATACTATGCCCCCTCTGTAACAGTATGTCCCCTTATGTAATAGTATGTCCCCTTTGTAACAGTATGCCCCCCCCCCCCGTAACAGTATGTCCCCTATGTAACAATATGTCCCCTCTGTATCAGTATGTCCCCTGTAACAGTATGTCCCCTCTGTAACACCATGCCCCTTATGTAACAGCATGCTCCCTATGTAACAGTATGTCCCCTTATGTAACAGTATGTCCCCTCTGTAAGAGTATGTCACCTTATGTAACAGTATGTCCCCTTATGTAACAGTATGTCCCCTATGTAACAATATGTCCCCTCTGTAACAGTATGTCCCCTCTGTAACAGTATGTCCCCTTATGTAACAGTATGTCCTCCCTGTAACAGTCCTCTAGTCTCACAGTGTCTCGTGTTGTCCAGGTCCACTCCTGCTGTGGTCGGGGCTCTGGAAGCTCTTCCTCCTGAACTCAACTTGACTGGAACTTTATAAGACCTGTTCACGTCTTTGTTTTGTTTAATTTGATTTGTTTTTATTAATTTTATTTTATTGTATTTTATTTGTATTATTTTGTGTGAATGGGAAACTTGGGTTGTTTAAGCTTCATTTCACTTCAGCCAAATCCAACTCAGAACTAGCCTATTTTATTTTGCACATTTTATGCATTTATAAAGAATTTGTTAAATAAATTTCAAGTATTTTCCTAAATATTTTCTCTTTCCTGTTTTAAAAAAAAAATAAATTCAAGACACTAAAGCTGACAGCAACAACTTGCGTGTGCATGCTGATGCACACTTACATTTATAGAAACTATAACGTGATGAGACACTGACAGTAGACCTTTTTCACCATGTCAGAAGTCGTGCCTGGTGAGGTTGCAGAACTTCCGGTTAATGCTTTTCTGTGGCAAAATATCTGTGGAAATGTCTCACGTATTCTCCAGCAGCTTCATAAATCTGCCCCAAACCTTCAACCTTCAACCAACAAGCTCCACAAAGGATAAACATTCTTCATGAACAATTTATCTAGAACTATCAAGAGAAGAAAGACCAAAACTTAAAGGAAACAAGGAGCCACATTAGTCACACACTGAACTAAACTAACGTTATGATCATGAATAAAACAGAAGTATAAGTAATTCATTAATAAGTAACTTGTTCACTCAGACTGACTCTAGAATTAAAATTAAAAATCAATTTCATGATGTCATTATTAGCACTGACAGGTCCCGTATTTTTCGGACTAAAAGTGGCACTTTTTTATGGTTTGGGTGTTTCCTGGGACTTATACTCCGGTGCGACTTATATATTCAATTTTTCAGACTGACAGCCGCTAGAGGGCGCTCTAGGCTTGTGTGTCAGTTTTCTACACATGTCTCATGCAGAAAAAGCCGCTGTCCTGCTGCAAGTTGTGAAATCTGCAGCAGAAAAAGAAGTAATCGAGCAACAGAAAGAAAGTCTGGCGTGAGCGAGAAACTTGTGAGGGACTGGTGGAAAGTGGAGATGGAGAACACAGCTTCACGGCAACCAGAAGGGTGCACCGTGCCTGGACTTCAGTGACAACCGAAGTTCCACGAAGTTGTTCAGAAGTGACACCGAGGATGAAGAATTCAGTGGATTCAATGGATTTAGTGATGTGGAGTGAGATGGAGAGTTTGGTAAAGTTATGTTCTGTTGTTTATGCTCTAGTTATCTGAAGAACTATTAACATTTGTTCTGTTAACATTGCAGACGCCTATTCAGCCTGTTGTTCTTTATTCTATTGTTATTACTAGAACTTGCCTTTCAAGATAAAATGTCGGTTCCTGGTCCTTGAATTTATAAAATAAATTTCCCCCAAAAAGTGCGACTTATTATGTTTGGTTTTTTTTGTTCATTACGCATTTTTTGGCTGTGAGACTTATACTCCAGAGCCACTTATAGTCCGAAAAATACAGTAGATTTGTGCAGTTTGATGCTACAGATGTTCACAGATCACATGTCTCACATTTCAACTGCACACTGATATATCTATCTTTGTATTTGTGAGAAATGTTGGCAACACTGTTTCATCGCCACTGGAGGCCATAATGAAAAAACCTGTAAGCAACACAGCAGCTAGAAACCACAACACACAACACACAACACACATTCACAAACAACACACATCACACAACACACATCACACAACACACATTCACAAACAACACACATCACACAACACACATCACACAACACACATTCACAAACAACACACATCACACAACACACAACACACATCACACAACACACATTCACAAACAACACACATCACACAACACACATCACACAGCACACATTCACAAACAACACACATCACACAACACACATCACACAACACACATTCACACACACAACACAACACACATCACACAACACACATCACACAACACACATCACACACACACACATCACACACACAACACACATCACACAACACACATCACACAACACACAACACACACATCACACACACAACACACATCACACAACACACATCACACAACACGCATTCACAAACAACACACATCACACAACACACATCACACAACACACGACACACATCACAAGACACACATCACACAACACACATCACACAACACACATCAACAAACAACACACAACACGCATCACACAACGCGCATCACACAACACACATCACACAACGCACAACACACATCACACATCACAACACACATCACACAACACAAATCACACAACACACATCACACAAAACACATCACACAACACACATCACACATTCACAAACAACACAAATCACACAACACACATCAACAAACAACACACATCACACAACACACGACACACATCACACGACACACATCACACAACACACATCACACAACACACATCAACAAACAACACACATCACACATCACACAACACACATCACACAACACACATCACACAACACACATCAACACACAACACACATCACACAACACAAATCACACATCACACAACACACATCACACGACACACATCAACACACAACACACATCACACAACACAAATCACACAACACACAACACACATCACACGACACACATCACAAGACACACATCACACAACACACATTCACAAACAACAGACATCACACAACACACATCACACAACACACATTCACAAACAACAGACAATCACACAACACACACACATCACACAACACACACACACACACACATCACAAACAACACACATCACACAACACACATTCACAAACAACACACATCACACAACACACATCACACAACACACACACAACACACATCACACAACACACATCACACAACACACGACACACATCACAAGACACACATCACACAACACACATCACACAACACACATCACACAACACACATCAACAAACAACACACATCACACAACACGCATCACACAACGCGCATCACACAACACACATCACACAACACACATCACACATCACAACACACATCACACAACACAAATCACACATCACACAACACACATCACACAAAACACATCACACAACACACATCACACATTCACAAACAACACAAATCACACAACACACATCACACAACACAAATCACACAACACACATCACACAACACACGACACACATCACAAGACACACATCACACAACACACATTCACAAACAACAGACATCACACAACACACATCACACAACACACATTCACAAACAACAGACATCACACAACACACATCACACAACACACATCACACAACACACATTCACAAACAACACACATCACACAACACACGACACACATCACAAGACACACAACACACATCACACAACACACATCAACAAACAACACACATCACACAACACGCATCACACAACGCGCATCACACACCACACATCACAACACACATCACAACACACATCACACAACACAAATCACACATCACACAAAACACATCACACAACACACATCACACATTCACAACACACATCACACAACACAAATCACACATCACACAAAACACAACACACATCACACATTCACAAACAACACAAATCACACATCACACAACACACATTCACAAACAACACACATCACACAACACACATCACACAACACACATCACACAACACACGACACACATCACAAGACACACATCACACAACACACAACACACATCACACAACACACATCAACAAACAACACACAACACGCATCACACAACGCGCATCACACAACACACATCACACAACGCACAACACACATCACACATCACAACACACATCACACAACACAAATCACACAACACACATCACACAAAACACATCACACAACACACATCACACATTCACAAACAACACAAATCACACATCACACAACACACATCAACAAACAACACACATCACACAACACACGACACACATCACACGACACACATCACACAACACACATCAACAAACAACACACATCACACAACACACATCACACAACACACATCACACAACACACATCAACACACAACACACAAATCACACAACATACATCACACAAAACACATCACACAACACACATCACACATTCACAAACAACACAAATCACACAACACACATCACACAACACACATCAACAAACAACACACATCACACAACACACGACACACATCACACGACACACATCACACAACACACATCAACACACAACACACAACACACATCACTCAACACACATCACACAACACACGACACACAACACACATCACACAACACAAATCACACAACACACATCACACAACACGCATCACACAACACACATCAACAAACATCACACACACATCACACAACACACATCACACATTCACAAACAACACAAATCACACATCACACAACACACATCAACAAACAACACACAGCACACATCACACAACACACATCAACAAACATCACACAACACACATCACACATCACACAACACGCATCACACAACACACATCACACAATGCACATCACAACACACATCACACAACACAAATCACACAACACACATCACACAACACGCATCACACAACACGCATCACACAACACGCATCACACAACACGCAACACACATCACACAACCTGCAACACGCATCACACAACACACATCACACAACACACATCACACAACACGCATCACACAACACACATCACACAACACGCATCACACAACACGCATCACACAACACACATCACACAACACACAACACGCAAAACACATCACACAACACGCATCACACAACACGCAACACACATCACACAACACGCATCACACAACACGCATCACACAACCTGCAACACACAACACACATCAACACACAACACACATCACACAACACACATCACTCATCACACATCACACAACACAGGACACACAACACACATCACACAACACAAATCACACAACACACATCACACAACACGCATCACACAACACACATCAACAAACAACACACATCACACAACACACATCACACAACACGCATCACACAACACACATCACACAATGCACAACACACATCACACAACACACATCACACAACACGCAAAACACATCACACAACACGCATCACACAACACGCAACACACATCACACAACACGCATCACACAACACACAACACGCATCACACAACCTGCAACACACAACACACATCAACACACATCACACAACACACATCACTCATCACACATCACACAACACACAACACAGGACACACAACACACATCACACAACACAAATCACACATCACACAACACGCATCACACAACACACATCAACAAACAACACACATCACACAACACACATCACACAACACGCATCACACAACACACATCACACAATGCACAACACACATCACACAACACACATCACACAACACAAATCACACATCACACAACACACATCACACAACACAAATCACACAACACGCATCACACAACACGCATCACACAACACGCAACACACATCACACAACCTGCAACACGCATCACACAACACACATCACACAACACGCATCACACAACACACATCACACAACACACATCACGCAACACACAACACGCATCACACAACACGCATCACACAACACACATCACGCAACACACAACACGCATCACACAACACACATCACACAAAACACATCACACATCACACATCACACATTCACAAACAACACAAATCACACAACACACATCAACACACACACACACATCACACACAAATCACACATCACACAACACACATCACACAACACACATCACACGACACACATCACAAGACACACATCACACAACACACATTCACAAACAACAGACATCACACAACACACATCACACAACACACATTCACAAACAACAGACATCACACAACACACATCACACAACACACATCACACAACACACATTCACAAACAACACACATCACACGACACACATCACAAGACACACAACACACATCACACAACACACATCACACAACACACATCAACAAACAACACACATCACACAACACGCATCACACAACGCGCATCACACACCACACAACACACATCACACAACACACATCACACATCACAACACACATCACACAACACAAATCACACATCACACAAAACACAACACACATCACACATTCACAAACAACACAAATCACACATCACACAACACACATCAACAAACAACACACATCACACAACACACGACACACATCACACAACACACATTCACAAACAACACACATCACACAACACACGACACACATCACAAGACACACATCACACAACACACATCAA